AAGAGTCAGAACCAGATCATCAGTTCAAGGTTTCTTTTTTATTTTAACTGTTTGTTTTGAAATCATTTTAGACTTAAAGAAGAGTTGCAAATATAATAGAATTTCCTCTTTCTCCTAATGATTACATAAACAGGGGCAGACTCCAGCCGTAAGAGAAAGTGCTCTGAAAAAGATGCAGTGCTGGCAATTGGAACACTGGCCAGCATGCATTGAATTAATGCCCCTAGGAATAGATCTTAACCAATGGCTGACGGGAGTTAGTGTATATATGTATACATATACTTCAGCTTTCTCACACTTCAAGTAGGATAGTTCTGAAGCTAGTGTTTTAAACTTGTTCCAAGGAAATCACAATGGGATTAAGCACAGTAATAACTTGTTTGGTAACTCACCCTTTATTGCTTTCACTCTCTTCCCTGTTTCACTTCTTCATGTCACTACTTGCACTTAATCCTTAACTCAGGCCCTGCTTCTGGCAGGACACAAATTCAGAAAATATTTCCCCAAAGTATCAGCTGAAGAGACATTCAAGAAGTGAGAGTATTTATGTTCTTCAGTGACAGAACTGAATGGAGGAAAAGCAGGAGCATGAAGACAAATAAGTGGGTTAAGAATATTTGTGGATATCAACTATTTGTGCTTTCTCTTGAAAACCAATCATTATTACTGAAAATAGAGTTTTTTATGTACATTTTACTTAGCCTGAAACAAGAAGGAAAAGAACTCTGAAATAAAGTCTGGGGATTTTGTTCTTCATATTAATATCACTTTGTATCATAATTGCTCATGTTTAAAACTCTGCTAATTAGCAATGAAAAGAACACAAGTTCTATAGGGTCTTAAGGTGTTAGAAAATATATTAAATTAGCAGAGCTCAATTGCTTGGTTAATTAAAAAATAAAATTTTATTTCATTTTAGAGAATTTAAAGGTCAAATTCTTCTATTATATTTTTTGAAAAGTTTATTCTAACAGTTTATTTGTAGCATAAAAGGTGGGATCGTCTATACATTTTTATTTCTTCAGTTTTATTAGCTGGCACAAAATGCAAAAAACAACAGGTAAAATGTTTATTTTATGTCCGTTTAATTAGAATTGAAGAGGCATATACAATAAGAATAATGCATAAGTATTATTTCAAAAACAACAAAATATATAAGGAATGGAAGCTAAATTAGAGTGTTCTTTCTGATAACTTTCATTGCCCAAATCAATTCTTAGCTGACCTACCCTAATGTCTGACCAGGTCTTGGGATAGTCTCTGTAACTCTCAGCATATCATAGCTAAATTACTATTCAGCATTCCATCCATATTAAAATCCTATCTTCTGCTTTCTGGGCCCCATGGAGTGGTAGGTAGTATTTAAATATTAAGTCCAAAGAAAGCAGTAAGAGAAGGGTCAAATAAATACCATCAGAATACAATGTGACTCTACCTCATCAAGCATGTATCTATAAGGCAATTTAACTTAAAAACTCATTTTCACTTTAACTTACACATGACAATGACAAATATTTTCTAAACTATTTCAGAAATATTTTATTTTTAGAAATTTGTTAAACTTAGGTTTTCCAATTGTAACCTCAGTCTTTCCCCAATTCAAAACTACATTTACAGAATAACTTTGTTCAAGCTTTATGTAATATATCTTTGAATAATCTTTGTCTTTCAGTTTTCTTTGTCCACTGTCTTTTACTGTTTCAAAACAATCTAGTGCCAAACACCAGACCTCTTCTATTTTTCCCTCTAAAAACGTCCTTACATATTTTTTGTATACCTGTAAAGAAGACTGCACAATATCTGGCCTTTTACTAACTGGACTACTGCATTACAGGCTTATTCCAAACCTTTTTCCTTCATTGCGTCTTTTTTCCCCCTCCAATTCTACCTATAAATCTTTATTTTGGTCATGAAGCCTATATCGTGGTTTCCTATTACATTATATGTAAGATCAAAATTCTGGACTTTGACTCATAGATCTTTACCAATATGTATAACTTACCTGTTACCCTTTTCTTTCAGCTCTTAGCATATCTTTTTCCCCGATTGAGGCAAATATGTTTTTCATAGTCCAGATGAACTTTTAGTCCAAAACTAAATGTTTAGCACAGTGATACTGTTCTTTCATTACTATAAAGCACCAGCAATCACAATGGTTCTTAGATGCTTTTTCCAATAAGGAAGCTATGGGTAGGGTTAGTATTCTTTTCTATTCCATTTCCATCTATCAGGAATTACATTTTATTCTATTCTCTTTGGTTATTACCTCAGATATGCATATATTCTTCCTTAGGATACCATATAATTACAGTGAATTCCCTTCTTTTGCTAGCTTAGCCTGAAAGCCGTCTTTCAGGTTGACATGCTGTAGTGGAAAATACAGGGAAGGAGCATCTTCATTTTAGAAATTTAGTGAATATATTTATACCTTTTTACAGCTTAGACTACATTGCCACATATGTTATCTTACTTGACTCCTAAGAATTGCGGGAATTGGTTGCAGTACCTGTTTTAAGTGGGAGGGAATTTGAAATTCTGCTGTATTGCAATATTCAAGAAGAAAGACTTTGGAATCAGAAAGACCTGAATTTGAATTATTACCACACTGTTAATAGTTTTGGGTAAATTACTAATTTAAACATAAAGTGCCTCATAAAATGGGGATAATAATACCTACATGACATAATGCATGTAAGGGACAAAGCATGTAAAGTGGATTGCTTGCCAGCCACATGGCAACCACTTAATAAATGGCAACACGTTAAGGGATTTGCCCAAGACACACTTGTAGAACAGCCTGCAAGGACCGGAAACCAAGAAAGATTTCAGACTCCAAAGCCCATGCTCTTCTACCACCCGTTTCCTACCATACTGAGTTATTTAAACTACTAATTTGAGTAAAATACTTCATCTGTAAAATGAGGGACTTGGTTTAGTTAATTTCTAAGGTCACGGTCTATTCTAGCGACATTAGGTGCTTTTGCGTTGCAGGGTCGAGTTTCAGGTCTGTGATATATCCGAGATCTGAACGACCACAAGCTGTGCACATTGCACCGAGTTTTACTCCGACTCTGGTATTTCGTTCAATATTTAGTTTTGTGTACACACTCAGTTGTTTTTTGCCTGTCTTTTTAGTCTATCAGCGCTCTGTCAAGGGGAGACTCACACTTAGCTTCATTTATTTATATCCCCGCTTGTTCCCAAAAGGATTTAAGGCGGCGAGTGACACTGTAAGTCCCCTAACGGTGTCACACAGTGCGATTAAGAAATCCTCTTTTGATGAAATCGCCCCGTAGAAATCGCCGATGAGTGAGATGCTAACTAATGTCTTTTACTCAACTCTTAAAAATAAAAACGAATGCACCTGGCTAGAAGCCCTGGAAGCACACAGTTCTAGTTCTTCCTCCAGCCCTGACTCTGTCCCACCCGTTATTAACGGTCACTCCAATGCCCTTCTCAGACTAGCCCGAATTGTCGCCGCTCCAGTCCCAGCTGGACCAAGATCCCAGCCCGCCCCTTCGCTCCCCCTCATCACCCAAGTTTCCTGATTGGGAAGGGGCCTGAAGAACCTTTCTCACGTTTCCACGTTATTGGCTGGCACGGCTGTCAGTAATCTCTCCTTCCCGCCTTCTAGCCTAGCGCGTTTCGTGGACCCCCTGGTTTCTGCGACAAGCCGCTTACGTTTGCCTGAGCCGTGTTGCCGGGGACCGGCGACCTTTCACCCCTCCCTTCCCACAGGAGCGCCCCGGCCCCCATCCCCGCCTCCGCCGCCGGCGCGCGCCCCCGCGCGCGCACAGGCACGCGCGCGCGCGCGCGGACACACACGCTCACTCTTGCTCGCCTCACCCCCCCCCCTAGCGTGTTCCCCCCCTCACCCCCTGGCCGCCCCGCGGGCTGAGGCAGCGGCGCTGGGAGGCGGCGGCGGCGGCGCTGCTGAGAGGCAGGGACCCGAGCGCGAAGTGTGGGAGTCTACGAACTCAACCCCTCTCTACCCTCCCCTCGCAGCCATCCCCCTCCCTCCCGCCACCCCCCCTCACAAGCGGGAGAAATAATGAGCGAGACCGGGCGGCAGCAGCAGCAGCGCCGAGCAGCCCAGGCAACGGCAGAACCGCTCCGGCAGCGGCGGCGGCGGCAGCACCAGCAGCGGGAGCGAGCGCAGCGCTAGCGCGGCGCGGGGACCGCCGCGCTGCTTCCCGGCTCCTGCCCTCCTCTGCCGCTCGCTCCTCTCTCGGCATCCACCTCCTTCCCCTCCTCCTGCTCATTCACTCTTTCCCTCAGTCTCCCCTCCTCCTCGGCTTCTCCCCGCGCCCCGCCAGCCCTCGCGCTCTCCCACTCCCTCTGCCCGTCCTCCCCGGTCCCCTCCTCCCGCTCATTCACTCGCCCCTCTCCCTTCTCCACTCTCTCCCCCTCTCTCCTTTCTTCTCCTTCTTTCACCCTCCGTCTCTCACACCCCCTCCATTCCCCTGTCTCCTTTCTGACACTGCACTGCAGCTGCTCCTCAGCCCTGCCCCCTCCCCAGTGAGAACAAACCAGCAACATTGCTTTTTTTCCTAAAGAGATTCCTATTGATCCGATTAAAAAAAAAAACCCTTAAGAAACCCCAAACGCAAAAAAAAAAAAAAAAAAAAAGAAAGAAAAGAAAAGAAAAAGCCAAAACAAAAGGGAGAACCTTCTCCCGGTACCAGCGGCAGGAACTGCAAACATGATGGCGGCAGCTCCCATCCAGCAGAACGGGACCCACACTGGGGTTCCCATAGACCTGGACCCGCCGGACTCCCGGAAAAGGCCGCTGGAAGCCCCCCCTGAAGCCGGCAGCACCAAGAGGACCAATACGGGCGGTGGGTATCGCTTCCACCTCCCCGCTGGCCCCATCCCCCGCCGCCCGCCCCTGCCTCCCTCCTTCCCGCCGCCCTCCCTCCCGCCCTCCCGCGGCCGGGACACCTCCAGCCCGAACCCGGCGGCTCCCGCGCCCCTGCCCTGCGCCCCCTCCCCTGCACCTGCCCCGCGCCTCGTTGTCCCCAACACATTTCCATTTCTGTGTTTATCATTCATCAAAATGGCGACCAGATTTTTTGAAATAGACCTATCTTTCCATTTAATCGGTTGAGAGGCTGACCATTTAAATATCCTAGACCTGGGCGAGAGGGTCCGTTAAGGAGGAGGATGATGACCCCGGAGTAAGGTGATGGCTGCCCGAAGATGCGCGCTGCATTTAACAGTCTGATAAAATAAATAAATAAATGGCACTTGGGTAGCGGATTGCAAATGATTGGGGCGCCCGAGAGTTTTTCCTCTCTCCATCCCTTGCTTTGGGCCACAAGTAGTGTGCAAAATCTTGATGAATGCATGCTCTTACCGCACTTATATTGTCGGTGTAAATATCTCATTGATTTGTCTTCGGGGGTGTGCATACGAGGGTGGGGGTGTCTGGTATGGTGACTTGTTAGTTAACATCCTGCGCTTCCTTGGAAGATGAGTTATAACGGGACCGGTGTCGCTTCTTCATTTGCACTGGAGTCATCTTAACAATGCACCCAATGCATCGAAGCAGAGGTGAATTTATCTCCAGCATATACATTATAGACGGATGGGGGTCTTGTGAGTGGCACACCGCAAAATTTGGAACATTCATTCACGTAGGAAAGGTGGATTTACCGGGCTGTTTAGTATTTAAGACATGGTCAGGTTGACGGGAATTAAAGTTTATGGAGTTAGCTTTATTTCCTAAAACATCTCTCTTTTTTTTTTCTTGAATCATCAGCCCCTTTACGTTTTAAAAATTGTGGTTATTTTGGAGAAGGGACATTATCTGTTTGGTCACTTTTAAGTGTATTTAATATAAATCACTCCTAAGCTTTTTAATATTGGCAAAATTCTTCTTAAGGTTCTTTAATTAATGAGCTTAAACGAGATCATCGTAGGCTAAGAAGTGCTAAGGAAATACACTAGGATTAGTTAGATTTGCCAGTTCACCACAGTGAGTTAGTTATTTCCTGGCAGTTGTCGAAGGCTTGGAATACACCCCACAGTTTGGGTGGATTATTTGGTAGGAGAATGGTTGTTTTGCATACTTTAAGTAGGATATAGGCAATGGCTAATTGTAGTTCTTATGTGTTTGTTAATGACAAATATAGCTCATCATTATTTACAGTCCTGAATTGTTTTCTTCTTCAATATGTTAAGTGAAGGTTTGTCATTTTATAAATTTCTGAAGTTTTGTTAAAGGGTCAGTTTATTTCATTTTGCCATAGTAACCACAGATAGAATTGGAAGACTTCCATGTTTGGAATAACAACTGGAATTTAGTCATCAGTTTCTACAGTGCTGCAAAATAATAGAATATGTTTAGATTTAACTTCCGAGCTTGAAAGCATAAATCCTACAAAATGGGAAACATTTTGTACATATTTGTTTTTCAGTGTAATTCGTTTATTTTCAATTTTTTAAAAAAATTTAACTTCATATTTCCTGCAGCTGTATGCCCAGTGCTTTTAGTTGCTGTTTTTCTCTCTTGAGGGTGGAGAGGGGATGCAAAGTTTAAAAATATCTTGTTAACCAAGTATATTTCTTTGCATTTTTCAGAAGACGGCCAGTATTTTCTAAAGGTTCTCATACCTAGTTATGCTGCTGGATCTATAATTGGGAAGGGAGGACAGACAATTGTTCAGTTGCAAAAAGAAACTGGAGCCACCATCAAGCTGTCTAAGTCCAAAGATTTTTATCCAGGTAGGTGCAATGGTGAAGAGATTGTTTGATGAGTCCCCAAGGAAAGAAAGAAGATCTACATGTGTTGTGTGCTGTCTTGAAAGAAATATTTAAACAATAGTGGAGACTTCATTTTATTTGTGTATTGCTGTATTACGTTGTATTGTGGACAAATTTTCAGGTTATTTCCATTGTTGATGATGTCTTTTTCCTATAAGATGTACTCTGTGTGTGATTTAGACCAATTGCAAGATGATTCTTTCGGGTATTTTCTTATTACGAAAAAAACTCAAAAATTTAAAGATAGAAACCTGGACAGCTGGTATCAGGAAATAGTGTTCTGAAGTTTTCAGACATCATTGTAATGACAATTAGTCTAGAGTGAATTCAGAAGAGGGGGGTAGGGAGGCTTCTTAAAGAATGGAGCATTTACTTCTGAATCCATTATGTACCTCTTTCTGCTTCATTGCTTTGTTTGCTGGCCTTGGAGTGAAGTAAAGAGGACAAGTGCTGCCTCTTCAAATTTTTAATATATTGTGGTTATAATGTAATTGAGATAAGGAAATCTATATTATTATGTAAGAAGTAAAATAATGCTTCCGAATTCCTTTTACTTAGTATTACTTAGGAGCCCTATCAGATTAAAATATGTTAATAGTTAGTGTAGGATAATAACTACTAGAATATGGCAAGTTTCCTAGGTGGTGTAATTTCTAATTTTTTTATTTTTCAGTGTGTTTTCTTATTTAAAGAGTTACATAGTTCTGGATGTTCATCTTTTTCTTATCATTTTGCTAATCGATATATGTATTTTAAGTTTAATAGAGAAATCTCCATAATTGAATAGTATGTTTCCTAGATAAAACATTATTAGCTGATTTGTTTTTGCTTAGATCTAGCTTTCTGCGCTTTTTAAAAAAGTTATATCTTTATGGCTATCAAAAATATCAATTCAGTGTGAGGTACTGATACTGCTTATTTTTTTTTTTCTGGTGGAAAAGAAAAGCTGATTTGCTTTCAGTGATCTAATTCAGTAAGAGTTCTTTAATACAGCAAAGACATCTGGCATGAATGTAAGCAGAACATTTGGAGGACTTCTTTTTCATAGCCAATCACTTGGTGGTAGAAATGGACCATTATAGTGCGTAAGAAGGTTTTAGAACGGTTGAAACTATCATTTAGTTGTATATATTAAATATAATATTTTAGGTAAACATAAAATTTATTAAGCTAAAATGCAATCTCTATTAGATACGATGTCTCTCTAAAGTTTGTTATGAGTGTAGTTTTGCAGATGGCTTTCCTTGTCTCTGAAACTTTCCTTATGCATTAAGAAAGTTTGCTAACATATTCATATTCATATGTTTAAGAGGTATATTATGATTAAAAAAATCAATGTGAAATTTTGTGAAAACCTTAGAACAAATAAAAGCATTCAAAAGAGCTTGATTGCAGAATTAATAACGTGATAGTTCTAGGAAAAGAGCTGCAATGGTAAATTAAATTCACTGTCAATAGATGAAAATGAAATAGCTTTTTTGCATTATACATGAGATGGTATCAGATGTGAAGGGATGTTACAGAAAATTGATGTTTATCAAGGATATTCCAAATAGTAAATTAAATGCCTTTTCATTTGAATATAGTTTATTTTCAGTGGGTTGGAAAGGGTGCACAGAGAATTAGGTCTTTTGTTTTTAGTCTACTTAGTTGTACATTTTTGCTTATTACATTGAAATTGCTTATTTTATTTATAGTTCTGAGGCATGGTATTTGTATAGAGCAAGAATATCTGTTGGAAAAAAATGAAAAGCTGGAATGCGTTGAATAAAATTTTGTGTGTGTGGTGACGTAACCTGATCAAATGTGAGTTGAAATGTCGGATAAAAGAAGGCTTGTACTTTGCCTGTAACAGGTGGAAACCAATCACACACTATGGAATCAATTTTAAGGATAAAATAAAGCTTGTAGTTTATAAGAAGCTTTAAGAATTCTGAACAGTTTGTATGAAAATATGATTTTAACTAGATTATTACCTGTTTGGACAGATAATCTCTCTTCTTCAAATAGACTTTAATTTTAATAGTCTTCCTATTCACACTTGACCGCAAGCCTGTGGAATTATCTAAGGTCCTGGTATTCTTAAATATAATAGCCTCTGAGTTCTTTTCAACTTCTCTTACTCAGATATACATAAGGCATACTTACCTTTTACGTCTCAGATGAGTTAAATTATAAAGATATGATTCATATTGCTGAGTTATAAAGAATTTCTTAGAGGATTATGGAGTAATTTGGCAGCCCATTTTTGTGTCTTTTATGACTGTCATATTCTATTACAATGAATATATCTGATGTTTATTTCATGAAGCATTTTTCTGTTTCTCATTTGGTCAGAGAGTATATTTGGAGAAAAGTGTATTTTATCTGTATGCCTAACAGATTTCCTCAAATTACCTAAGTTTTGAAACATTTTAATTGTTTCTAAGATTTAGATTAAAATACTAGTGTATTGGTAAAAACTTCCTTCAGGATGCGTAACACAGAATACAGACATCCTTTGGGGACATTTGAATAAATTTCAACTCAAATGATAGGTACTTTAAAAAATTATAACCAATATAATCTCATATTTATTTTTCTTCTATCAGGTTATACCTTAAGCAACCCTGCCTTTCTGAGTAATTTTTAAAAATTTTAGTTGAAATGGAGAAAACATTTTTGTACATTGATTTGAATTTAGAATTTGTACAATTGGATATTGCATTGTGTATTTCAACATGTCACATGTTAAATAAAATAACTTGGGAAAGTTGTGTGATGAGGAATTGTGAAATGCATTTTTCACAATTTCTGCAGTCAGAAAAAAATGATCTACAAGTAGGTTTATTTTACTCTTTGCTGTACTGTGTAATTCATTTATTTTTAAAAATCTAATCTTGTGGAATACTGACTTAATACTGTGGTTTAAGAATATATCTTTTTTCTTAATTCATTAGAGCAAACTAATTTGATATATTTATATATCCTTTTATAATTAGATTACATAAAGTTACCTTATAGTAAAAACAGTTTTCTCATTTTGAGTAATATATTACTATATGCATTTTCAGAATGGTGATAGTTTTTTTTTTAATTCTTTTATTTTGCATGTGAAGATGTGTTTAGTTTTTGTTAATAAACAGATTGACTTTATCTATTAAAACCATATAATAGATGGTTCAGGTAGGTAATCAGAAAAATTTATTGCATACATTATTGGTTGGGAATAATAAAAGACATATAAAATAAATATTTTCATATGTGCCTTGGATTTTAGAACTCTTCATAGTATGTCTATTTTTATTATATCATATGATATTGGAGGTATTCATTATATCAGTCAAACAGGAATCCTTCACTGTAATGTTGGAATCTATTTGCGTATATTTTATACTGTTTTCATATTTGTGGTTATAAAGCTGGATCACGTTTAATACAAATTATTTCCTTTTATGATCCTTAAGTTAAAATTTGTATTTATTATTACTAGATTCCTTATATCTTGATTTTGTCACTGTTGAACTTGGGTGGTGTTTTGTTTTTTGATGACAAACAATTTATACTTTAAATTTTTTTTAAATCATGAAAAAGCACAATGTAAGTGAAATTTTCTTTCAGCGAAGGAAATGCCCTACACTGCTTTTATTTTGACTTGAGCAAAATTCAGTGGCCAATTTAAACTTCAGGATTTGAATTGTGTAAGCATGATGATTTTTTAAAATTCAGAGGAGATAGTGAAGTTTAAAACGGATTACTTCTGCTTATATTGTTGGATGAAAGAGTATTATGATACTGGTAGTATAATTAAATGTAAATACTTATAGCTTCCAAAAGTTACAGTTGGACTTTTTGATCTTAGATGCAAAGAATCTTAGAAATTTATTGGTATATATTTTAAGACAAAATAAGTCGATAAAATAGAATTGTAACAAGTAGAGAAAATAAAGTAGTATAATTTCCAACATTATTGGGTGGATTTAATATGATAGTTATTATTGCACTGTGATATACCTTTGATTTTAGTATGATCCAAGAGTTGCTGACACAAATTGTTTTTACTTGAATCTTAAAGTTGTAATGTTTATATTTGACACACTGCCTATTGCTATGGGTTACTTTTATATTTTGGTTCTATATCCTCAGTTGAAGGACGAACATAATTTTTTACTACTTATACATTAGCATCTCTGTGAATTTGCTATGTTTTTATTTTTCTAATTTATCTTAAATACTTTATTTTCCTATTTTAAGCAATGGGAAAACTTATTATATGAAGGGATATCATTTGCATAGCACAATCTATATTAACATTGCAGTTTCCAAAAGATATAATTTTTATACTTATGTATGTAAATATGGGAAGATGAATTAGCATTAAAAATCTTACCTATTCTTTTTGTTTGATTCTTTTTTATTTCATTCTGATGTTATGTCTTCTGTCATTGATATAGTAAGTTATAGAACATCATTGATTTATAGTGTTGATGTTTTCATGAATCATATAGCACAATGTCACTTTGAAATTTGCTATTTGAAGCCTTCTGGGTTTTGGAAAAATAGCTCATTTAAAATTTGTGACATTGTAAGGAAATACATCTAACAACATTGCCTTGCAAATATCACCCTAAAGGATTTTAGGAATAGTTTAAAAATAGTGAACACGGTTGGTGAAGTAGTTGAATATTTATGTATTGAAGATGTTTCATATAATATAACAAGAGGAAATATGATGTGTATTTTGGAAACGCTAAGGAATATGTGTTATCACTAAAAACCCAAACAACAGCTATCAATCAAAAACTAGTGTATTTTATACTTCTATTATTTTATTTTGTTTTGGTCTGGCTTAAAATATTACTTTTAAAACTATTTTATTAAATGACACAGATGACATTTATTGAATATATATTATTGTGCCTGTTAACTACAATTCAGCACCTAATAAACACTTTTTTTTAACCATAGAGTTTTTAACCCTA